ATTTGAAATTATGCTAGCAGAAATTAGTGCCAGATTACTTGTGGAACCAGATAACTGATGCCAGATTAGTGATGGCCAATCTATACTCACCTATGTGGCCTCACCTCTCAACTTGTTCTTTGCCAGATTCACTCTCCCCTTGCCTAGTGGGCCCCTTTTGTGCCTATTCCTAAAACTATGCATGAAGTCTGCCTCCACCACTTCTCCACTGGGTCATTCCACTTCCTGACCACCCTGAGACTGGAGTAATACTACCTGACATCCTTGTGATTCATCTGTGTCTAGCTTTTAGCTACATTAAGTGCCTGTTTCTCACCTCTCAAACAGCCTGTCCTATCAATTCCTCTTAGTATTTTGTATGTTGTTTTCATGTCTCCCTTGGTCCTTCTGTCTTGTAGGGTTTTAGATTAAATTCCTTTAGCTTTTTGTTGTAGCTCATACTCCTTAGCTCTGGAACTAGTCTCACTGCATACTTCTGCACTGTCTCCAGTTTCTTAACATGCTTCCTTAGGTGTGGGTTCCATACTGGTGCTGCATGCTTCAAGATGGGTCTGACATATGTTGTACAGCCTCTCTCACTTAGTGACATACTCGTTTACCAATGACTTGGCCTTACGACGGGCTCTCTGACCAGTATGCATACCTAAATATTGTATATTAGAGCTGATTTCCTGTATTCTGTTTAATACAATATACAGTACACTACTGTATAAACATTCAAAAATATACCAGAAATGTTACAAATGGTGCAAAGGTGACATTAAATAAAAGCAAAGAAGGTTGACACAAACCCACTACCATTATAGTATGCTCCTCACTTAGCAACGAATTTGTTTACCAATGTGGTTTTAGGAACGGAACCCCATTGTTAAGGGAGGAGAGGCTGTATAGAGCACCAGGAATGCTTTTATTGAGAATCCTGAAGGTCGCTTTCAAATTTGCCAGGCAAGCATTGGCTGCAGAGGTTATTTGGTTGATGTGGGCCTCTGGCAATATGGTAGGCATTATACTTACTCCTAGGTCCTTCTCTTTAAATGAGGGTTATAGCCTCTGTTCCCCTGAGACTACATTCTGTATCTGGTCCCTTCTCCAATCTTCATAATTTTGCATTTGCTGGGGGTTGAATTCAAGCAACCATTTATCTAACCAACCCTTCAATTTGTCCAGATCCTTTTGTAGCCTTTCCCCCATCCTCATCTTTCTGTATTCGCCTCATTAGTTTTACATCATCAGCAAACAGATACATCCAACTCATTTCTGTTAGGTATGTCAGTCACGTAAACCAGAAACAGCAATGGTTCTAACACCGATCCTTGTGGTACACCACTTGTTACCCTTCCCCATTCTGACATCTTGTCCCAGACCATCACTCTTTGCTTCCTTTCCCTAAGATACTCCTTGATCCACCGGCATATGTTACTGGTTTTTCCTGCCTGCTTCTCAAGTTTTTCCTCCAGTCTCTGGTGGGGTACAGTATCAAATGCCTTCTTGCTATCTAAGAAAATGCAATCCACCCTGCCCCTCCCCCTCCCTCTATCTCTCTCTCTCTTTTAATAATGACAAATACCAAATATTTTACTATATTTGTGAATTAAGGAAGAGGCAACATAAAAGTCAAACTGCCAACAATTACTCAAAATTTTTGTATTTTTCATCTTTTGGCTTCTCTGATATAAATGAAGTACAAACATGCACATACAAATATTTAAATAATCAAACATTTATAAAAGACTCAATTCTCCCTCTCTAAGCTTACCGTATAATCAACAACATTTCCTGTGGTATTTCCTGCAGTATCCTGTTTATTTGATCAAACCTGCGGGCTGCCATCTTCTGCATGTATTCTAAGTCATCAGAAGTCAATACATTTTTAAACAGCTGGAAACTCTGAGTTTCAACTGGGCGCTGCATAAGCATTTCCGCAAAAAGCAAGTAGTCTGGAAGTTAATGGAAATTAAATTCCATTACTAAAATAATGTGTACAGCCAGTTTTCTTGAGTTTATGACCTAAATAAAAAAGCCTCATAGATTATGATTTATACTCAGTTCTAACAGATAATCCCCTTTATTATGTTAGTGTATGTTATCACATCTGGATATCACTCCCAGACTCTGGAGTCATAAGGCAATTTCAATAGTGAGAGATTTTACGCAAAATAAGGAGGTGATTATTTTTACCTAAAGAAATACAGCCTCTCCTCACTTAGCGACGTACTCATTTACTGATGACTTGGACTTAAAATGGGCTCTCTGACCAGTATGCACACCTAAATAATGTATATTAGAGTTGATTTCCTCTATTCTGTTTATTACAATATACAGCACATTACTGTATAAAGATATAAAAATATACCAGAAATGTTATAAATGGTGCAAAGGTGACATTAAAACAATATCAAAGATAGTTAACACAAACCCACTACAATTACAGTATGCTCCTCATGTAGCTACGAATTCATCGACCGACATGGTGTGAGGAACGAAACTCCATTGTTAAGTGAGGAGAAGCTGTACTTTAATGGAAATGACCCTATCTTCACAACATTTTTCCAATCTACATAAAACATTAAAGTACAACACAGAAAATAAAATTCTCTGTACTGTACTTGCCTTTTTTATTAAAGGCAATACTCTGCACATATCCAACAATTGAGATATAACATGTCCTGGTACTTCCATTATCAATATCAAAATGGATTACAGGTACTTCTACCAACCCTGAGGTCTGTACATGTACAGTGACAAAGTCTTCGGCCATTTTAGGGAAGTGTTAAAGAGACGCCAGAAACAGCTCTCTCCACAGTTATTTTGTGAGACAGGACTCCAGTGACTCTCAAGGTGGTCCTAGTGGCATTAAGAAACAGAGAAGAGAAGCAACCCCAGAAAAGTAAATGGTACCTGAGGTGTTGATGGAAGGGGTTTCCCCTTCCAAACTATAAACAATCCATCCACTCTCCTCCTCCAGTCTCCCATACACTAAGAAGAATCTCCAATAAAGGTAAGTGTTATGCTGTTAATGTTTCATTCATCATTTCCATTGTATTGTTTATGTACTAAATGCATATTTCATGTTAAAAATTTTTTTGTTTTAATACTTCTGGGTGTCAGGAACGGATTAATTGTATTTACATTATTTCTTACGGGGAAAATTGATTCGTAAATCGTAAATTTCGTTTATAGTAATGGCTCCAGGAATGGATTAATTACGAACAACGAGGGACCACTGTATATATGTATAAAGATACACAACATATCCCACCAAACTGCCAATATCCTAAACCCCTCCTTTAAAGTGCAGGCATTGTTCTTCCCATTTCCAGGACTCGAGTCCGGCTATATAAAATAACCGGTTTCCCTGAATCCCTTCACTAAATATTACCCTGCTCACACTCCAACAGCTCGTCAGGTCCCAAATGCCATTCGTCTCCATTCACTCCTATCTAACACGCTCATGCACGCATGCTGGAAGTCCAAGCCCCTCGCCCACAAAACCTCCTTTACCCCCTCCCTCCAACCCTTTCGAGGACGACCCCTACTCCACCTTCCTTCCCCCATAGATTTATACTTAAATATGGGTTTTAAACATTGCAGCTAGGAGCAGTTTAGAGGCAGAGATGTCATGTCTGAGGGCAATGTGTGGTGTGAATATTATGCAGAGAATTCATAGTTTGAAGATTAGAAGAAGGTGCAAGCTGAGGAGGGATTGTTGAGGTGGTTTGGCCATTTAGAGAGGGTGGAGAAAGATAGGATGACTAGGGGTTGTATAAATCTGAAGTGGAAGGAAAGAGGGGTAGGGATTATCTTAGGAAAGATTGGGGAGGGAATAGGAGGCTTTTGTTTAGCCAGACTTGAGCTTTGGAGGTTGGAAGTACAACGCCTTCACTCTGAAGCAGGGGTGGGGATGTTGCAGTTTGTAGGGTCATCTGAACTGTAATGTTGCCACACCTCTGGCAAGACAGTGGTAAAATGAATGATGGTGACAACATTCCTTTTTTTGGGGGGGGGGGGGAGGACCTATTTTTGCAGCAGATTGCTGGTGCATTTAACAAAAAGATAAAAAATCCAAACACATATTATAAAACTGATCATACAGATAAAGCATATGAGCTATGATGAATGACAGAAGATACTATAAATGCCCTCAACAGCTGATAAAAGGGAGATATTAATTAAATATAAGATCATAAAATATACAAGAAAACAGATATGGAGAAGAAGTCACAATATTAAAGAGGAAAAAAGATGGGTTGAAAGATACTACAACATTTTTTCTTGACTGTGTGGTAGATGACTGACTTGGTATCCAAACTTGAAACAGTTATAAAAAAAAATTAAATATTGCAGACAGGACACAACTAGCTTAGGTCTTCTCCTATAACCACAAATATGTTATCAGAGAGGTAATTACAATCACGCAAAGAGAAAATGGAAGCGCATTCAGTACAAATATTAAGTAGAAAAAGCTATTCTATAAGAACTAACATTAATCAGAAAAAAAGACAAATATAAAATTATACTGGTCATTTATAACTACAAAGTTAATATCCACAAATGAGAAAGAAATACACCTACAATCCGACTTACGACCGAGTTCGGTTCCGAGAAACCGGTCGTGAGACGAAATGGTCGTAAGTCAAACTTTACTACTGAATATCAACAAAACATTTTTGTAATGACTTTATTTTATTGTTTTATTTTGGTATTTCATGTTTTACTTTACTTTTTATGTTGTTAGTACTGTTTTTTATACTGTAAGGTTTAGGATAAACACTGTGTACAACACAAATAGTTGTTCATTTCCCAGAAATTTGGCATAAAAAAACACGGTCGTAAGTTGAGTGGTCTTAAGTCGAGCAGGTCGTAAGTCGGATGGTAGGTGTATAATCCATGTATCCAAAAACAATGATCATGCTCCTCAGTCACAGCACTATTCCATGAGTAGTCCAGTCTATGTCTGACATTAATGGAAGAAGTTTAACAAAGGAAATTTGTATGTTCACCGCAAGACAAGGAAGAGTTCCGTTGGGAGATCCTCAAAAGATTTTCTCAATGTCTCACGAGCTTCTTCCATGCGCTTTTTCATTTTTTCTCTATCCTCCTTCGCCATTTTCTTCCAATTGCTTCGACTAAACTGCTTTGGCCCTTGATTTCCAAAGAACCTTTTTTCAAACTTGTCTGATCCTGAAGGTGGTACATAGCACTGCCCCACCATCATGCAGAAGAATCGATAGCCATCTGTTGTATGTACTATTCGTTAATTAAGTATTTATATCATGTGATGAGGTCATCCTTGAATTGTCTCCCATTACATCTTAATTTGTGTTACATTAGTTTAGTTAATGACGTCTTTTCTTATCTTTATAATAAAATCCTAGAATAATAGGTTAACTGGTAGAGAAACCTTCCATATATGGAGACATGAGGTTATGCTGGATTTATCTATCATGTTAATACAAAAGACTAAACTTGAAATTCAATTTGAAAGACATATCTGAGATGACCTATTCCCTATGGGATCTCCCCAGCCTCAATCAGTCTGTATATAGAATCATTCATGGACATTTTAAGAGCCAGAGACTAAAGAAACAACTGAGACTACTGTCAAAAAATAAGGACTGCCTTGAGTATGTTATATCAGAGACATAAAAAGTACCTTTATTTACCAAAAATAATGAAAAAATGTAATTTTGAGAGCTTTACTAGGATCCAACAAGGCTACACAAGGATCATGACAACTCCAGATCCATATATTAGCTCAATCCCAACCAGTGGCAGACCTATATTTTTGAGGTCATGAAGCTAGAACTGTTATGGGGCTTCTTTGCAATCAGCAACAGGCAGACTACATGATATTTCAATAACCTTTCAGTCTTTATTTTAACTATTATTCTGTATTGAATTACACTATATTATTAATATTATCTGTTAAAAAAAATCTTTCTTATATATCAGACCCAAAATTTTTAAGCAATGTAGACTAAAGTGGCTTCTGGGGCCCCTCTGGATTAGGAACCCTGAAGCTTAAGCTTCATTAGTTTCATAGATCCACCCCTGATTACAACACTACTTGTGGTTTGTGTAACATCAGTTTATTATTCACTTTGCCTTTATCTATGCAAATGAAATTTCAAACTCTCATGAAATTAAAAACTATGGAGAAAAAAGCAGTGTGAAATCTAAATCTATGCCATATCTGGACAAGATGTGCATGTTACAACTGAGTCAACTGAGTATATCTGCTCATACAGGTCAGAGTGCATAGGGTAAGAAAGAAGTCTGGTTGGCAAAAATAAGGTAAAAACAAAGATTAAGGAAAACAGTATTTACTGTAAGAGTATTAGAGAGATGAAGAAAAATGGAATACAGCTTCAAGTAGCACAACTGCTCAACCCTTCAAGGGAGGTACCTTGATTATGGTGAGGGGTTCTTGATCCAAGGAACTGAACCTGTCCTCCCCTTCCTTGGATTGAATCTGATTGCCTCCCCTACACTGCATATCCCCTATGGGTTTAGTGCATCCCACTGATTAGAAAAAAAAAAGCACAACTGTTGCAAGTCCAGGCAGAGAACAGAACCACAAATGGAGTAAACTGCCAAAAATGCTACCACAAGTGACCAAGGCTAACTGGTTTACTGCATAAAAAGAGGTAAAATAACATCTGCATATTCCAGCCTCAACCAGAGACCCTCTTCTGCTAAAGAGTTTCTTGACTTAGGCAAAATATACAGATCTACTTGACCTGTTCCATTTTTCAATCCAGGTGACTTCTCACTGTACATTTTTTTTTTTTATAACACGTCAGCCATCTCCCACCAAGGCATGGTGACCCAAAAAAGAAAGAGACACCTTTACCATCATTCATACTAATCACTGTCTTTGCAGAGACGTTCAGATACAACAGTCTGGATGTTGCTCCAAACAGCCAATATCCCAAATCCCTCCTTCAAAGTGCAGGCACTGTACTTCCCACCTCCAGGACTCGAGTCCAGCTAACTGGATTCCCTGAATCCCTTCACAAAATACTGTATTACCCTGCAAGTCATTTACTGTACGAAAATATGCATTTTCCAATGGTTTTGAAGACATGGGTATTATGGACACAGAAATTATATTGTTTATATAACCCTGGATATTCCCTGGGTGGTAGATTACTGAAAACAGTTAAGAGTTTTATGAGGGTAGTGATGCTCAGGTTAGGGTATGTAGGAGAGGAGGAGAGTATTTTCCAGTAAAGTACACCTTAGACAGGGATGTGTTATGTCACCATAGTTGTCATCTCACCTCATCCTAATGTTTTTCCCTTGTCAATACATGGTAGCTCCTTTACTTCCTCATCAAATATTTCAATGCCTTCCTATGCTTAACTAACCAAAGTCAAATATGACCAGCCAAGTTATTCAGCATGGTATGCACTAAACCTACTATTCTCCTTAAATCACTCAAAAGAAATATTGCCCACTTATGGGTCACAGCTGTCTGGGCTCAACACCCAGGCAAGTGAAAACGAGGAGTATATAGATCTTGAAGTATGGCAAACACATAGGAGTAGCTCTTGTGCATTTTCCCTGCATTCATGGTTACCCAGGCTTAGGATGCTCCAACCAGTGATTCCCAAGGCATCAATGAAGTATGAAATCCTTCCACCATGAAAAGGGAGGTTTGTCTCATAGGAGTTGGAAAGTGAGCTTCTCTGGGTTTTAATCAAGAGAATACATATATATATATATATTTTTACTAACACATTGGTCATTTCCCACCAAGGCATGGTGACCCAAAAAAAAGAAGAAACACTTTCATCGTCATTCACTCCATCACTGTCTTGCCAGAGGCGTGCCTACACTACAGTTAAAAAACTGCAACATATCAACACCCCTCCTTCAGAGTGCAGGCACTGTACTTTCCACTCCAGGATTCAAGTCTGGCTAACCAGTTTCCCTAATCCCTTCATAAATGTTACTTTGCACACATTCTAACAGCATGTCAAGTCATAAAATCTATTTGTCTCCACTCGCTCCTATCTAACACGCTCACACATGCTTGCTGGAAGTCCAAGCCCCTCACACACAAAACCTCCTTTACCCCCTCCCTCCAGCTTTTCTTAAGACAACCCCTATCCTGCCTTCCACTACAGATTTATATGCCCTCCAAGTCATTCTATTTTGTTCCATCCTCTCTAAATATCCAAGCCACCTCAACAACCCTTCCTCTGCCCTCTGAATAATACTTTTTAGAAGCCCTGCACCTCCTCCCAATCTCCAAGCTACAGATTCTCTGCATTATATTCACACTGCACATTGCTCTCAGACATGACATCTCCACTGCCTCCAGCCTTCTTGCTGCAACATTCACCACCCATGCTTCACACCCATATAAGAGCATTGGTACCACTAAACTCTTATACATTTCCCTCTTTGTTTCTATGGATAACGTTCTTTGTCTCCACAGACTCCTAAGTGCTCCACTCACCTTGTTCCCCCCTTATCAATTCTATGATTTGCCTTGTCTTTCATAGACCCACCATGCCCAAATATTTGAATACATTCACTTCCTCCATACTCCCTCCCTCCCTCCAGCAAATTTGCAATGTGAGATGGAGGAGTTTCTTTAACCCTTTCAATGTCATGACCACTGAAATTAAGTCCTCTCAGTGTCCCAATTTAAAAAAAAAAAAAAAAAAAAATGGTTGAGAATATATGCCTAAAGGTAATGACACCGAAAATGCAAAATTTGATTTTAAATTTACGGAATTATGCAGGCATGAAACTGGAGATCAGAGAGCACTTTACTCACCTGCAATTCTGCCCAGTTTCAGGCTTATGTTAAGCGAATTCCTGTGTTCAAACCAACCCAATTCCTGGCAACTTTGTTGGTATGCTTTTCATTCTACCAATTTAGTAAAAATGAAAATGCTTATTTCCTTGCAAAGCTTACAATGTGTGGTTTACATATTATAAAATATTAATTACAAAGAAGCCACTAGCTTGCCTAGGCATTTTGGGCAGACTAATCCTAACTCTTACTCTATACTGACTCAGGTTATGGGGCAGTACATTTTAATATACATTACTGCATACTGATATAAAAGTTAGATAATTGAAAGAAATTGCCATTCAACTATCAGAACTACCCTATAATTTAGTAATTTAGGCAATTTCACACAAAATTCAACAAATTGCAATATTAAAAAAAGTCCAAAATAAACTCTGTAGGTGTTCCACCCACTAAAGCAATATTTCTTCTGTTCATTAATCATATTCCCAGGCCCTCCATTTTGAATTCATCACAACAAAAAAAATCTAAGTTTTATCTTATTTTTCAGCTAATAAAATATAACCAAGAATGACTGGTCATGGTTTAGGGCATCCCAATAATTGAAGCAAGCAAGCCCAGTAAATTGCCATAAAATATATGGGAGGGAGGGGGGCTAGGAAAAAGACCCTACTCTTCCTCAGGAAAATCACCAAAAATGAAACATTTCCAAAACTTTGAGGCCTATATCAGGCCACTTCCTGTCTGAAACTGACCAAAATGCTATTTCACTAGTATGTCTTCTGGTCTATCAAATAACATCAAGAAATGGCCAATGAAACCATGAAAACCATCAGAGAAACTGCCTCAAAGTCACTATTTTAACCCAAGGTCAGCAGTTATCTGTTTCCATTATGCACTGTGAGGTCAGAATTTTTTATATAATCTGCACACCCACTGCACAGACTCATTTTCTCATTGTAGGTCAAAATTTACCACCCACAGTATATTTGAGGGCATTACAATTAACCCTTTGACTGTCACAACCCCAAATCCTGAAGTGTCTCCTGGTGTTAAAAAATTTTTGGAAAAAAAAAAAATTATTTTTTCTTATGAAATGATAGAGAATTTTTTCCCGATGGTAATGACACCAAAAGTACGAAAATTGATTGAAAACTTATGGAATTACGCTCCCACGAAGTTAGTGATCTCAGCCATATATACACATCGGTGATTTTGCCGAATTTGAGTCCTATTTTCGGCCAATTTCATTGTTCCAGTCAACCAAATTCATAGCTATTTCTTTAGAACTCCATTTTTTCTATCAACTGAGTACAAGAAACTGCCCATTTACTGATTTCAACTACCTGATAAAGTGGTCAGAAATTGGCAATTTGGCCAATTTTACGCAAATTAAAAAAGATGCCAATTTCAAAATAAGGTCCAGAATAAACAATGCAGACATTCTTGGCACTAAAATAACATATCTTATGTTCATTAGTCATGCCTCCAGGCCCATCTATACTATTACTCTTGCTTTCTATTTTGATTTTTTATTCAAACAAAAAATAGAAGATTTACTATTATGCAGACTACTGCATTATTGTAAAAATGGTATAAATAATATCAGTGTACTAGTGAAAGAATACAGTGGACCCCGACCTATGATGTCCTCAACCCGCGTTAAAACCGACTTACGATGCTTGTCAACGTAAAAATTTGACCCTGACATAAGTTGAAAAACTCAACTTACATCATTCATCCTGTACACATCCATGAGTCTGTCTGGCCTGAGCGCCTCAGCTGAGCTAGTGTGACATTGTTTACAAGTCAGGGCAGATGGTTGCACGTATACATTCGATAAATTTTGTATTATTCCAGTGTTTTTAGTGCTTGTAACTGCTAAATAAGCCACCATGGGCCCAAAGAAAGCTTCTAGTGCCAACCCTGTGGTAAAAAGGGTGAGAAATACTATCAAAATACTATCGTACCATGGTCAGCTGCTGCTGCACCACGGTCAGCTGCTGCTGCACCACGGTCAGCTGATGCTGCACCACGGTCAGTTGATGCTACACCACGGTCAGCTGATGCTGCACCATGGTCAGCTGCTGCTGCACCACAGTCAGCTGCTGCTGCACCACGGTCAGCTGCTGCTACACCACAGTCAGCTGCTGCTGCACCACGGTCAGCTGCTGCTGCACCATGGTCAGCTGCTGCTGCACCATGGTCAGCTGCTGCTGCACCATGGTCAGCAGCAGCATGGTCGACCCACACCAGTTGACTAACACCCAGGTGAACAGGAAAAAATGTCTGGAACTAGTGCTCATATTGGTGAATTTAAGGCCAGCAAAGGTTGGTTTGAGAGATTTAAGAATCATAGTGGCATACACAGTGTGATAAGGCCTGTTCTGGAAGAAAATGCCAAACAGGGCCTACATTACTCAGGAGGAAAAGGCACTCCCAGGACACAGTGTCTCATCGCTCATCACTACATCTTCAATAAAGGTAAGTGTCATTTATTCTTCATTTAGTACACTAGTACATGCACAATATATATTGTGCATGTCTCCTTTTTGTGTGTAGGAAAATGTATATTTCATGTGGTAAAAAAAAAAAATTCATACTTTTGGGTGTCTTGAATGGATTAATTTGATTTCCATTATTTTTTATGGGGAAAATTAATTCGACTTACGATAATTTCGCCTTACAATGTGCTCTCAGGAATGGATTAATATCATAAGTCAGGGGTCCACTGTATTAGACTCCCCAATTGACGGGTATTGGACCTGTGGTGTGATTTGCTTACTTTTGAACATTGGTAAAAATCAAACATTTCCGCTACTTTGAGCTCAATTTCAAGGTTGTTTTCATCATGAAACTAATCAAAATCATCCCTATTTCCATAACATGTTTTCCATTCTATCAAATGAGACCAAGAAAACGAGAATGCAACCATAAATACTATAGGAAAATACACCTCAAAGTCGGTATTTTAATCCAAAAACACGGTCAGAGTTTTTTATCTCTCATTATGCACTGCCTGCTGCAGGATTTTATACAGTGCACACTGACCAGACAGACCCATTCTCTCACATGTGGGCCTACCAGCTTTCTCCTGCTTAATTTGAAGCCCCTAGAATTATTGAGTATATATACGTCCGAAACACTGGCTCGTAAAACACATATATGTATTATATATATATATATATATAACCAAAACAATCAAAGGGTTAAGATATACGTATCCTGTATATACGTAAGCACCACTGGTCTCAATAATGTATATGTTTAAGACAGTGAAACGGTTAATTTTCCTAGGAGGCCAGCACTGTTGTGGAGGACAGAACTCTTCTATAGAAGTGAGTGGGTGTGATGATCATGCACTGTCAAGTGAGGTCTCGGAAGGAACCGGTTTGTTGAGGACTGTACCATACTTGATGACTGGGCATCATGATACATCAACTCACAAGCCTTTGACTGCACCTTGGTAAGATTATTCAACTGGGGCGGGAGGGAAGAATCTGTACAATTTCTTATACAGTGGACCCCAGACTGACGATATTAATCCATTCCAGAGAGCACATCGTAAGACGAAATTATCGTAAGTCAAATTAATTTTCCCCATAAGAAATAATGGAAATCAAATTAATCCGTTCAGGACACCCAAAAGTATGAAAAAAAAATATTTTACCACATGAAATATACATTTTTCTACATGCAAAGAGAATGATACATGCACAATATATACATATTGTGTAATGAAGAATAAATGACACTTACCTTTATTGAAGATATGGTGGTGAGTGATGGGATGGGAGCAGGGGAGATGATAGCAGTGTATTATTTTTTGGAAGGGGAATCCCCTTCCATAAGGACCATGGTGACTTATTTAGCAGTTACAAGCACTAAAAACACTGGAATAATACAAAATGTTCCAAATGTATGCGTGGAAGCGACCGCACTGGCTCGTAAACATTGGCATCCTAACTGAAGGCAGGGCAGTTGAGGCACGCACAGGCCAGATGGACGCATACGGGACGAATGATGTAAGTCAAGTTTTTCAACGTAGGTCGGGGTCAAATTTTTACGCTGACAAGTATCGTAAGTCAGTTTTATCATAGGCTGAGGCCATCATAAGTCGGAGGTCCACTGTATATAGATCCTCTCTTACTACAGTACCTTCAACTGCACAACAGTCTAGTCTCATAACTACCTTCCAGTCCATCTCCTTACACCATTTTTAAGTAATTTCCTCCTTATCACATACTCCTTCTCTCTACCAATTAACCAAATGCCCTCAAGATTCAAAAAGATATTAATTTTTTTCTGAACATAAATCAGAATTTACATTAACACAAAATTATTATAATCATTCCCATAATTTTTTTGCACATTTTGAATATTAATTATCAAAAAGACACACCAAGACATCCACCTCCAGGATATCTCTCCTAACTTGTATATTTCTATGCAAAAAACACCACAGTAAAATAATTAACAAAGCTAAAATACTGGAGCACTTTCATGCCTATAAACATGCACAACTTCAAAGGAATGCACAACAGCACTTGAATGTTTCTGTTCTCATAATTTTTTCACTGTGATATTTTTCATAAAAGTAATTAAATTTTGTATAATGTATTCCCATTTGATAGTGGAATAATAATTAATTTAAAATTCCATTTTTACATGCATTAATAACAGATTCTGGCACTAAAAATAATGAATCAAATTCAGCTACATTTAATATAAATTGAATAATCTAGAAAGAAATCTCTTGCTTAATAAATACAGCCTCTCCTCACTTAACAATGAAGTTCCGTTCCTAAGACTATGTCGGTAAATGAATTTGTCACTAAGCAAGGACCATACTATAATGGTACTGGGTTTGTGTCAACCATTTTTTATATTGTTTTAATGTCACCTTTGCACCATTTATAAAATTTTTGAGTATATTTTTAAATGTGTATACAGTAGTCTAATGTATACTGTAATAAAGAGAATAGAAGAAATTAGCTCTAATATACATTACTTAGGGATGCATACTGGTCAGAGAGCCCGTCGTAAGTCTGAGTCATAGATAAACGAGAAAGTCACTAAGTGAGGAGAGGCTGTATATTATTTGAATAATAAATATACTATCTGAATTAAAAGTACAACTTTTTGCCATATAATTTAAAAATTATATAGTTTTCAATGTCACATAGTAGTCTATTTCATCATAATCAACATGAAATTAAAACATCTATCCAACATGCATATCATAGTCTATAATTCAATTTTTTTTTTTTTTTTTTTTTTTACCTCAACAACCATCTCCCACCAAGGAAGGGTGATGCAAAAAAAATGATACAGATTCACTATTTAGGAACTCTCTTTCCAGAAGTGTGCTGACACAATTCAGATTACCCTCCAACTGCAACATCCCTGTCCCTCCTTCAGAGTGCAGGCACTGCCCTTCTCACTTCCAGCAATCAAGTTCGGCTAACCAATTTCCCTGAATTCCTTCATAAAAGTTACCTTGCTCGCACTCCAACAGCATATCTATTAAAAACCACTTGTCCCCATTTAGTCCTATCTAAAATACTCACACAAACCTGCCGGATACTGAAGCCCCTAAAACTTAAAGCCTCTTTTACCCCCCTCCCACCAACCATTCCTGGGATGACCCCTACCTCTCCTACAGTCCATCCCAGATTTATACACCCTCTTGGTTGGCCTATCTCTCTCCATCCCTCTCTATATGCCCAAACCACCTCAACAGCTCTCTGAATTATATCCTTGGTGACTCCCAGTGCCTTTTAATTTCTACACTCCTAATTCTTTTTATGATATTCACACAACACACTGTTCTCAAACATGACATTTCCCCTGCCTCTAGCTTCCTTCTCCCAGCAGCATTAAAAATTCATGCCTCACTCCTGTATAAAATGTTGGTACCACTATACTATGGTATACTCCCAGTTAGCCTCTGCTGATAAGATTCCCTCATTCTACACATGCCTCAACACCTCCACCCCCCTTTATCCCCCTTCATCTATTCCAGAGTTCACCTTGTCTTTCACAAACCCATCTGCTAACATGTCCATTCCCAAATATCTAAATACATCCACTTCCTCCTCCCCAATCTGGAAGTCAACCTATTATTGCCTAAACTTTGTGTTACTCACATTATCTTGCTCTTCTCTACATTCACGTTTAATTTCCTTCTTTTATATACCCTCCCCAATTTGTCCATCAGACTATGCAACTTCTCTTCAGAATCCCCCAATGTTTGTTTGTACTGTAAACTCACCTGTAACACCTAACTGGGCTGAGTTTTTCTGCATTTCTTTATGGTTTCCCAGGACAATAGCCTTCCATAGGCGGCAGAGTGGCTGTCTGACTGATGTAGGGAGACACTGATACAAGCCATGATCTAGTATAACAATCTCTGCTCCACCGTGTTTACTCCGCCGTATCAAAACTGTAAAATTTCTTTCATTAACAAAATTTACTGATGGATATACAGCAGTTTATTGAAATAATGACAAGGTCAGAATGTTGATCATTCCATATTAGACAAGAATATGCCAATACACTAAAAAAATTACTATACTTTTTAAAAAATTAAAAAATTCTGCACCAATGAAACTGCTTGACATAAAAATTCAGTACTTTTGCCAGCAACCTTCTTTATCTGCTCTTAACCCTTTGAGGGTCAACAGGCCCTCTCTGAGACTTGTTCTCAGGGTCGGCCAAATTTAAAAAAAAAATTATTTTTTCTTATGAAAAGATAGAGAATCTTTTCCCAATCATAATGACACCAAAAGTATGAAATTTGTTGGAAAACTTACGGAATTATGCTCTCGCGAAGTTAGCAGTCTCGAAGATGTTTACACATCGGCGATTTTGCCCATTTGAGCCCTATTTTTGGCCAATTCCAGTGTACTAGTCTACAAAAATCATAACTATTTCTCTAGAACTCCATTTTTTCTATTGAATGAGTACAAGAAACCACCCATTTACTGGTTTCAACTATCCAATACAGTGGTCAAAATTTAGCAATTTTGCCAATTTCACACAAATTTCAAAAGATGCCAATTTCCAAATAGGGTCCAGAATAAACAAGAAAGACATTCCTGGCACTAAAATAACATTACCTCTGTTCATTAGTCACATCCCCAGGCCCCTCTTATATTTCTTTGGCTTTCCACTTTCAATTTTTATTCTTACAAAAAATAGAAGATTTACTGTTATGCAGACTACTGCATTAGTGTACAAATGGTATAAATAATATCAGCGCACTTGTGAAATAATATTAGACTCACTAGTTGATGTGTATTGGACGCTTCGCATGATTTGTTTACTTTTGAACTTCGGTAAAAATCGAACATTTCTGCTACTTTGAGCTCAATTTCAAGGTACTTTTCATTGTAAAACCAGTCCAAATCATCTCAATTTCTGTAATATGTCTTACATTCTATAAAATGAGACCAGGAAAACTAGAATACAACAATAAATACCAAACGAAAATACAGTGCAAAGTCGCTGTTTTATTCCAAAAACACGGTCAAAGTTTTTTTTTTCTCATTATGCACTGTGTGCTGCAGGATTTTTTTTATACTGTGCAAACTGACCACATAGACCCATTCTTTCATATGTAGGACTACCAGCTTTCTCCCACTAGATTTGAGGGCGCTAGAATTTAGGCATACTAGTACATCAAAAACCCTGGGTCGTAAGCTGTATTAGTACGGCCGAAACCCTCAAAGGGTTAAGAGATACTAGAGGATACAACACTATTGATCCAATTATTTTTTACATTAATAAGTCTGAAGTTTGCCTGAAATGCTCTGCATATTAACCCTGAAACTGTCCATACATAGATATACGTACTGTACGTGCATGTACAGTATATCTATGTATGGACAGTACATTTACGTATATCTACGTATTTTTCATTCCTTCAAATTTGGCGCCATAGGCCTGATTCACCTAGACATGAAAGAATGGGTGTGTGCACTATAAAAAAAAATTGGGGACCACTTAGTACCTTGTGGGAGCACCAGTTCAACTGAGTGCCAGCTAGAGCAAAAACATGGCAAACACCAGTGATTCATTGATGTCATTTCATATTAACACTCACATTTTAAGAGGAAAGTAAAAATAGGTTAGATAAATGCATGAGTGGGAGTGGGTGGGTGTGAGTTGGACCTGAGTAGCTTGTGCTACTAGGTCAGATGTCGTGCTCCTTCTTTCAGTGGATGTGACCTGACTAGGTGGGTCACTGGTCTAAGCCGGGGGTGACATGGACCTGCCTTGCATGGGCCAGTAGGTCTGCTGCAGTGTTCCTTCTTTCTTATATTTTTATGTGTTTGGCTGGCTGGCTTTGGCTGTTTCTGTCTGTATCTGTCTATATCTCTGTCTCTCACATGTACTCATAAATACAATTATACATAATGTAAATTACCTAGGATAACCCAAAAATTCCAGGCCAAGTGCTATACAGTGTTTGTAGATATAAGACATAAATAAACATGGTGCAAATAATAGCAGTGTCACTTGCTCAGCAATCAGGGAGCAGGCCATACACCACAAACCAACAGGTTTACTAGCCACTCCTTGAGACAGAGACAAGCAGATGGAAAGACAGACACACACAGGCAGATGAAAAGACAGATAAGCAGAACTAGACAGACAGATAGATATACAGATAGACAGACTGACAGACAGACATACAAAGACATGCTTGTGTGCAAGAGTAAAAACATATAAAGGCAAGGTTACCCCCTCCAGCAGCACACATTCATCAAATGTCACTTGTTATCTGACGCTTGTCAGCACCATTCTTCAAGGTGTTCCTGTTATACTCCAGGCACACACAGAAGACAGAAAGACAGATAAGCTGAACTGGACAGACAGATAAGCAGAGCTAGGCAGACAGACAGATAGATGTACAGATAGACAGACAGATAGATAGACTGACAGACAGACAGATAGACTGACAGACAGACAGACTGACACATACAGAGACATGTTTGTGTGCAAAAGTAAAAACATATAAAGGCAAGGTTCCCTCCAGCAGGGCACATTCATCAAATGTCACTTATCTGACCCTTGTCATAACACCATTCTTCAAGGAGTTTCTTACTTCAGCGTGTCTAAAACATTGCTAGGACCTATAAATACTTTGTATATATTTCTAGACAATAGTAAATGACCAGAGCAGGTGAAAATGTTCACCTGGCAGTGTGACTGTTACAATTTGAGTACTATTTCAGTACATAATATTAGTGTCAGAACAAAGATTGGCTATGAAATCGCAAGAACTATTATAAATTGTAATTATCAGAACATAAAAATTATATAAATTAAAATAAAAACGAGAAAAAAAGGTAAATCGGCAACACTTCTGCAAGAGGCAGGACTGGATGTTGCCATCAGGTGAGCATCCAGAGCTAACTTCATGGTCTTATATCTTGGTAAGTACTGGTCCTAATTTTTTTTTTTTTGGTCTTACACTACACAGAAAATTGCCCTCTTTAATTTAAAAACAAAAAACAATTTTTTTATTTTTCAAAATATTTGGAGCGCCACGCAGGTGAACGTAAATCTACGTTTGGACAGTTTAAGGGTTAAGGGGCTTTCTGCATGAACACCTAAATGTCATTCAACCTCTGTACAAACCTTGTATCATGCTGAAAGAGAATCCTAATCTTAATCTTAACAGTTCCTTTACTGAGATGAACAATTCTCATTGTTATGTTGTAATAGACTAACATGTTGGTTTTGCAGCTATAAATGTAAATTTTATAGTCATCCTCAAAAGCAGTAAAATAAAATATTCTCAGTATCAAATTACTCACCATCAGTAAAAGTTTCTTAATCAAATGTAACATTACTAGATTATTAGAAGAAGAAGTGAAAAAGAGAGAAGAAGAAGAAAGAGAAGAGAAGAAGCAGCAGCAAGCAGCAGAGCAAGCAGCAGCAAGCAGCAAGCAGCAGCAGCAGCAGCAGCAGCAGCAGCAGCAGCAGCAGCAGCAGCAGCAGCAGCAGCAGCAGCAGCCAGCAGCGCAGCAGCAGCAGCAGCAAGCAGCAGCAGCAGCAGCAGCAGCAGCAGCAGCAGCAGCAGCAGCAGCAGCAGCAGCAGCAGCAGCAGCAGCAGCAGCCAGCAGCCAGCAGCAGCGCAGCAGCAGCAGCAGCAGCAGCAGCAGCAGCAGCAGCAGCAGCAGCAGCAGCAGCAGCAGCAGCAGCAGCAGCAGCAGCAGCAGCAGCAGCAGCAGCAGCAGCGCAGCAGCAGCCAGCAGCAGCAGCAGCAGCAGCAGCAGCAGCAGCAGCAGCAGCAGCGCAGCAGCAGCAGCAGCAGCAGCAGCAGCAGCAGCAGCAGCAGGCAGCAGCAGCAGCAGCAGCAGCAGCAGCAGCAGCAGCAGCAGCAGCAGCAGCAGCAGCAGCAGCAGCAGCCAGCAGCAGCAGCAGCAAGCAGCAGCAGCAGCAGCAGCAGCAGCAGCAGCAGCAGCAGCAGCAGCAGCAGCAGCAGCAGCAGCAGCAGCAGCAGCACAGCAGCAGCAGCAGCAGCAGCAGCAGCACCAGAGCAGCAGCAGCAGCAGCAGCAGCAGCAGCAGCAGCAGCAGAAAGCCAGCAGCAGCAGCAGCAGCAGCAGCAGCAGCAGCAGCAGCAGCAGCAGCAGCAGCAGCAGCAGCAGCAGCAGCAGCATAATAAAAAATAATAGTAGTAGTAGTAATAATAGTAATAGTAGTAGTAATAATAGTAATAGTAGTAGTAATAATAGTAATAGTAGTAGTAGTAGTAGTAACAGTAGTAGTAGTAGAGTAGTAGTAATAATAGTAGTAGTAGTAGTAATAATAGTAGTAGTAGTAGTAGTAGTAACAGTAGTAATAGTAGTAGTAGTAATAGAAGTAGTAATAGAAGTAGTAATAGTAGTAGTAGCAGTAATAGTAGTAATAGTAGTATAGTAATAGCAGTAGTATTAGTAGTAATAGTAGTAGTAATAGCAGTAATAGTAGCAGTAATAGTAGTACAGTAGTAGTAATAGCAATAGTAGTAATAGTAGTAGCAGTAATAATAACAGTGTAAGTAGCAGGAGTAATAATAATAATAATAACAATATTTTTTTAACACCAGCTGTCTCCCACCGATGTATGGTGACCTGAAAAAAAAAGAAACACCTTTACCATTATTCGCTTGCCAGAGGCACACAAATACCACAGTTTAGATGCTCCTCCAAACAGTAAATACCCCTGAATCCCTTCAGAAAATGTTACCTTGCTCACACTCCAACAGCTCATTAAGTTCCAAAAACTATTTGCCTCCACTCACTCCTATTTAACATGCTCACATAGACTGCTAGATGTTCAAGCCCCTTACACACAAAACCTCCTTTATCCCATCCCCTCCAACCTTGCCTAAGGGCGACCCCTACCCCGCCTTCCCTCCACTACAGATTATACACTCTCGAAGTCATCC